GTTTATGAGCCCCTGCTGGAACCTTCGCGGAGCACATCTCAGTCTGCGTTGTAGCTCTTCAATCAGTATTCTCCAGCATTTCACTTCTTGCTCTATCCGGCGAATTTTGAGGCACAACTCTTGGTTTCGGATTTGATTCAGATTCATCTCTTCATCCTCATTTTCCTCCCTGGATCCCAAAAAAGGCTCTCCCTCTTCAAGTGAGTTGCTCTTCTTTCCCGCCTCGGACTTGATTCCATTTACCTTGCTCATCATCTTCTTCGTCTAAAATTTCTACGATACGTTCCTCGTCCTCATCATACAGCTCGTGTATCTCGTTCACTTCTTTGAAGACTTCAATGACTTCCACGACGAGTTGTTCCTCTTGTGAAACATATCACCAACATGTTGTACCATGTCTCCGGCCCACTTGTGGAATGGGCTGTTCTGGCCTTCTGGATGTGCACTTGGTTCGGAAGTTTTTTCTGTTTCTTCGGAAGTTTCTCTTCTTCCGCGCGTACCGTACTCTGAATCGCCGCTTTCGGATTGCTGGTGGCATCTTTTCGGTATGCACTCTTTTTCCTCGCCCTCTGAGTGTTGGCGTAGTGTTTTGTTCGGCGCTTCCTGATTCTGCTTTCTATAATGTTCCTGCCATAAAAAGGCTCGGTGGTTTTCGCTGTTGACAACACAACCAAGTAAACCACTTTATCGGCACTACCTCAAATTAATGGGGTAATCAAACCCTATTCACAAATAACTTGATATAACAAATATATAACGATGAAAAATCACTACAATTCTAGTATTACATGTTTGAACTATCTTTTTGGTTCACTTCCATAATACAGACGTCAATAAAGTTTAATCTAAGGTTTTGAATTCTTGCAAAGGCGCACTGGAAGCTTAGCCCTCAGAAATATTAGCCTGGCGCACAGAGGGCTAAGCTTCCTATTTATTTTCCAGTAATACAAAAAAGGCGTAATTTTCAGGCACGTTTGACTACGAGAGGAAATAGAAGAACTTTCTGAAGAGTTACAGCTGTACACTGCTTCGACAGTGCTGCTCTAGTCTTGCTCCAACCATCGCTTCACGTCGCATCTGGTTGATGGCGGATTCTTTGAATTCTTGTTTAGTGGTTGAGGATAGATATCGAGCTCTTCCTCCATGTGTAGTCGCGCTCGTTCTCGCTCAAGCGCTTGGCGAGCGCGCGTCAGTCTCTCCAAAATAGGTTGGCTCACCTCTGGAAGCTCGCAGAGGGATGAGTGGTGTCGGTATCTGCGGCAAGAGAAGGGGTAATCTATTTGCGGCATTGCCTTCCTCCCGGGCAGAACAGTTCCAGGCAGATTTCGCATCGTCTGC